CGACTACACCAACAAAAAGCGGATCTCAATTTTGTAAAGAACTCTCATATTCATCGAGATCTTATTATGGTGAAACATAATGGAGTTCTAAAAACAGTTGTTCCAGAATCATTCCAAGAAGAAATTCTCAAAGAATACCACGATAATCATTCTCACCCCTCAATTAACAAGACAGTAAGATTGATAACACCATTTTATTGGTGGCCGAATGCTATCAGATGCATCAAAGACTATGTTCGCTCATGTAAAATATGTCAAATAACTAAATGCAGTCATAAACCATTTATTGGAGAATATGTTGCACCAAACTCTGATCTGAAACCACTGGAATTAATATCAATGGATACTATTGTGCTAGGCTCTGCAGCAAATGAAACCAAGCACAAATACATTCAAGTAATAATTGACCACCTAACAAGATTTGTTTGGGCTTTCCCTACTGTCACCAACACTTCTCAAGCAGTAATTCAATGTTTAGACAAAATCAACAAAACTGTTCCCCAAATCAAATGTATTTTAACCGACAACGGAAAGAATTTTACATCAAAATAATTTAACAAGTTTTTGAATGAGCATCAAGTTCAACACACCTATTCGACGTCATATCATCCGCAGAGTAATGGACTGTGTGAAAAGATGAATGACACTATACTCACCAAATTAAGAACAAACCTTCAAGAGAATCCAAGACTAAAATGGTCATCATTACTTGCCAAAATTGTGAAAGATTATAATAGCACACCCCATGATGTCACTGGGGTTTCTCCAAATTTCCTACTTTTTGGTGATTGTGCAATACAAGAATTTTCTGAATCACCACATTTCACCATAGAAAATGCAAGGAAGAAAGCAATAGAAAATAGTGCAAAGCATAGAGAAAAGTGGAAAGCACGACACGATGCAAAACATCCGCAGTTGTCATTCAAAGTTGGTGATCTGGTCCTTCGTAAAATAGCTAGTGATGATCCAAGTATGGTCAAAACATCCCCAAAGTATGAGGGTCCTTTTCAAATAACAAGAATAATATCAAGTGTTACGTGTGAATTATTGAAAGATGTTTCCTCCTTGGTTAAAGTTCATGTGTCACAATTGAAACCATTTAATTTGCGAAAATAAATCCTTCAAGCCAAGGGATATGACACGTTTCTGAATTTTGTAATTAATTTTTAATTAGTTTTTCATTGATTTTTAATGTGTGATCAATAACTCTTATCATCATTGGAAAAAGAACAATTAAATAAACAAAAGAACAACAACATGGTAAATTTGCCTCTTTATTTAAAACAAACAAACAAATTAGATAAAGATTTAAAATAAAACATTTCTTTAAAAGTTAAAGCAAAAATAAAACGTTACAATATATTTATAACGTATATAAATATTGTTATATGCGTTTAAATATATTTTTGAAACACATTATTTTTTAAAAAACATTTTCAAAATTTTGAATAAGATATTGTCACTTTTGTGAATTTTATAATTAACTAGCGGACGTACCCGGCTTCGTCCGGGTTTTACCCGAGTAAAGGTTTGTCTAACGAATCTCTCGATAAAGTGAACATTTTTTCCCGGTCCCTTGAAAAATACTCGATAAGTTGAATAAAATCAATATTAATTGGTTCCCTCGGTAATTGGAAGTTAAAGGAATATATATAGTATCTTGCCTTGTATTGTATCATTATTCTTGTCTCAAATAAATTACCGTGTCATCCTGAATTTTGTCTTTCCTAATTTTCTACATTACAAAATAATCGTATCATCATGATAATATTTAGAGCAGATTGTTGCCTTATAACAGATAAACTAGAATATTTATCTTGATTATTTTTAGGCGAAAAGTTATTTCAAAAATTTTATTTGCTAGAAACCTTCCTGGTACTATACTAAATAACTTCCCAAAGTTTCATGGCGCTCCAATGAGTGGTTTGGTCAGGCATAAAGGACAGACAGACACACATACATTCATTTATATATATATACACTGCGTGACATTGAAAATGTAACACCAAGAATAGTGGCCAGAAAGTGATGAAACTCGGCAGACAGAGAGAGACAGGGACGAACAATAAGTGATCTTTATTTCAAAATGATAGTCATAATACAGAGCGAGAACGGCGTCGGCTTAGTAGCAAGTAGGACCACCGCGGACGGCGATGCACGCAGCAACACGTCTAGGTAGAGAGTCAATCAGAGTACGGATGGCGTCCTGAGGGATGGCTCTCCATTCCCTCTCAACCATTTGCCACAGTTCGTCCTCTGAACGCGGCTGTGGCAAGGCATGCAAACGGCGTCCAATGATGTCCCAGACGTGCTCGATTGGTGAGAGATCAGGAGAGTACGGTGGCCAGGGAAGCATCTGTACATCTTGCAGAGCTTGTTGGCTAATGCGAGCAGTGTGCGGTCGGGCGTTAACCTGCTGATAGAGGGCATTGGGTACCCCCTGAAGGTAGGGGAGTATCACCGGTCGCAGCACATCATCAACGTATCGTTGGACCGTCATAGTGCCCTGAATACGAAGTAAAGGTGACCTGGAATCATACGCGATTGCGCCCCAAACCATGATTCCACGTTGTCGCACGGTGGGGCGTTCCACAATTGCTGCCGGATTGGACCTTTCTCCACGTCGACGCCACACGCGTACACTGCGACTATCACTGGACAAGCAGAAACGCGACTCATCTGAGAACACGACCCTGTGCCATTCCATCATCCACGTCAACCTAGCCCGGCACCATTCCAAACGTTGGCGCCTATTCGGTGGGGTCAATGGCAGTCTTCTTAGCGGACGGCATGAGTGCAAGCCATTAGCAACCAATCGACGGGAAATGGTTCTGGTCGAGATGGAATGATCTAGGGTGTCTTGCACAAGTTGCAGGATGGCGGTACAAGTGGCTTGTGGGGCCACCACTGCTTGTCGAAGGATACGCCGATCCATACGTGCTGACGTCACTCTGGTTGCACCGACATTCCTATAAATTGCCACATTTCCTTGTTCCAACCATCTTCTCCACAGTCTGTGCACCGTGGACAGGTGTGTATTAGCTGCGATTTGACGTATGGACCAACCTGCCCTTTTCAGTCCGATCACCATGCCCCTCGTAAAAGCGTCTGTCTGCTTGAACTGCCTCCGTTTACGATGACCTGGCATTCTCTGTTATTACACGTGTCTTTTGACACAAGAACAAAATTTCTACAATGATTTTCCTTGAAGAAATAACGACACGAATACTGTCCTTTCTGCAAGTTCCTTCCCTTATATCTTACTCCATGTGCGCACGAGAGCTGCGCATTTGACATCATTTGCATAACTCGGTTAGGCGCGTCTACCCTGAAATTTGCATATTATTCTGGCCACTATTTCTTGGTGTTCCATTTTCAATGTCACGCAGTGTATATAGATACTACTGGGAAGGTTTATGGTTTGAATTTGATTTGAAATAAATATTCTTTGCAATTTTATTTGCAAATTTCTACTTTCATTCGCAAGCAGCGCCTCACGCGGTTTCTGGTGAAATTATATTTATAAATTGTAACAATGCTTAAAATGTGTTCCAAGTATAAAAAAATTAATTTGAGAATTTAGTAATATAATATTCCAATGACGTAAAAAACTTGGCATTTTAATATCAATATATATTTAAAGAAAATATTGTAACATTTTTGTGTTAAATGTTAAAATGTAATGTTAAAATATATTTTTAAATTGTTAAATTTATTTGTTCTTGTTTTATAATAGTGAAGATGCAAATTACATTGTTGTTGTTGTTTATTATCGTTTGTTTATATAAAAAACTAGCGGACGTACCCGGCTTCGTCCGGGTTTTACCCGAGTAAAGGTTTGTCTAACGATTCTCTCGATAAAGTGAACCTTTTTCCCCGGTCCCTTTAAAAATGCTCGATAAGTTGGATAAAATCAATATTAATTGGTTCCTTCGGTAATTGGAAGTTGAAGTAATAGTATCTTGCCTTGGAATTGTATCATTATTCTAGTATGGATGTACCCGGCTTCGCCCGGGTTTTACCCAAGTAAAGGTTTGTCTAACGAATCTCTCGATAAAGTGAACAATTTCCCCCTATCACCTGAAAAATACTCGATAAGTTGATTAAAATCTATATTAATTGGTTCCCTCGGTAATTTGAAGTTAAAGGAATAGTATATTGCCTTGGAATTGTATCATTATTCTTGTCTAAAATAAATTGCCGTGTCATCCTGAATTTTGTCTTTCCTAATTTTCTACATTACAAAATCATCGTATCATCATGATAATATTTAGAGCAGATTGTTGAATTATAACAGATATATTAGAATATTTACCTTGATTATTTTTAGGCGAAAAGTTATTTCAAAAATTTTATTTGCTAGAAACCTTCCCAGTACTATACTAAATAACTTCCCGAAGTTTCATGGCGTTCCAATGAGTGGTTTGGTCAGGCATAAAGGACACACACACATACATTCATTTTTATATATATAATAGAATAGACTAGCGGATGTACCCGGCTTCGCCCGGGATTTTACCTGAGTAAAGGTTTGTCTAACGAACATTTGTTAAAACAATTCTCTATAAACTTATTTAAAAAATAGTTATGTTTTGATAATTTGAAACTCGTAAATTTGAATCTCTCGATAAAGTGAACATTTTTTCCCGGTCCCTGTCTGCCGTGTCATCCTGAATTTTCTCTTTCCAATTTTCTACATTACAAAATCATCGTTTTATCTAGTGAACATTTTCCCCGGTCCCTTGAAAAATACTCGATAAGTTGAATAAAATCAATATTAATTGGTTCCCTCGGTAATTGGAAGTTAAAGGAATAGTACCATCGCCTTGGAATTGTATCATTATTCTTGTCTCAAATAAATTGTCGTGTCATCCTGAGATAATCTTACTTTTGATAAATAATCTACATATATAATTGCCTCACACACATTCTCTCTGTGTGAAGTTCACTGTGTGAAGTTCACGGATAGATTTTGGTCAGAATAGATAAAATAAAAAAAGTGTCAAGGGATGGGAATCGAACCAACGACCTTCCGCTTACCGGGCAGATGCCATGACCACTAGGCTACCCTGGACATATTTTTCCGTTCATAAAGTTAAGAATAAAAGAATAAATATTTTAATATAAGAATAAAATATGATATCCATTGAATAGGTATTTAATTTTTAGTATCTCATTTATATTTATTCGAAATTTATATTTGAACGATAGGCTCATTATTTCTTTTGATGTTTATATATCGTATATACCGTTTTGCACAATCATTTAATCTTTTTTATATAAAGTACAATACTTAAATGAAAATATGTTTCTTATACAATCAAATTATAATTGTAACGAATAGTATTTTAATTAAAACATTTTAAAAACACACAGTTTGGAACGGGACGTTTCACAAGAGTGACATCCATGGCGCCAATTTATATTTATAACGAATAGTATTTGATTTAAAACGTTTTTAAAATATATACGCACTCGGGTAAAACCCGGGCGTTGCCCGGGCCATTCGTCTAGTCTTTTAGATAATAAACTTAGTGATAATAAAACTTATAAATAAAAAACTTGTTATCATCGTCGCAATGGTGGCGCTGGTTGCGAGTTAAATCTACAAATGTGCAAATAACTCTAAGGATATTCAAGATATTCAAGAAATTATTTTTCAAAAACCTTCCCGCGGATATACCTAATAATATCCCAAAATTTCACGGCGATTGGATGTATGGTTTTTGAATATGTAGAGTACAGACAGACAGCCATTCAATCTATATATATAAAATTGAATGTCTGTCTGTTTGTCTGTCTGTCTGTACTCTATAGATTCAAAAACCATACATCCAATCGCCGTGAAATTTTGGGATATTATTAGGTATATCCGCGGGAAGGTTTTTGAAAAATAATTTCTTGAATATCTTGAATATCCTTAGAGTTATTTGCAGATTTGTAGATTTAACTCGCAAGCAGCGCCCTCATTGCGATGATGATAACAAGTTTTTTTTTATCTATGAGTTTATTATCTTAAAAATTATTTATTAAAAGTAAGATTTTCTACCTATTAATTGCGCACAAGTCAAAGTTAGTTTCATCATTTATCTGCAACATATATATTGGGAGAATAGATAAAATTATGATTTTGTAATATAGAAAATTAGGAAAGACAAAATTCAGGATGACACGGCAATTTATTTGAGACAAGAAAAAATGATACAATTCCAAGGCAATAAGATACTATTCCTTTAACTTCCAATTACCGAGGGAACCAATTAATATTGATTTTATTCAACTTATCGAGTATTTTTCAAGGGACCGGGAAAAAATCTTCACTAGATAAAACGATGATTTTGTAATGTAGAAAATTAGGAGAGACAAAATTCAGGATGACACGGCACACAGGGACCGGGAAAATGTTCACTTTATCGAGAGATTCAAATTTACGAGTTTCAAATTATCAAAATATATCTATTATTTTTTTTTATAAGTTTATAGATAATTGTTTTAAAAAATGTTCGTTAGACATACCTTTACTCGGGTAAAACCCCGGGCGAAGTCGGGTACATCCGCTAGTTTTATATATATACTAGCGGACGTACCCGGCTTCGCCCGGGTTTTACCCGAGTAAAGGTTTGTCTAACGAAACTCTCGATTAATTGAACATTTTTTCCCGGTCCCTTGAAAAATACTCTATAAGTTGAATAAAATCAATATTAATTGGTTCCCTCGATAATTCGAAGTTAAAGGAATAGTATCTTTGCCTTGGAATTATATATTTATTTAAGTAACCCATGTTCCTGGAGCGTACAGAAGTCGCCAACTACCCGGGATGTCCTTCTGACCTAAGTCTTCTTGGATTTATGTACAATGCCAGTGGAAGTCCAATTAATGAGGTGTTGCCAGGCAGATTTCTTTCTTGGTAGATTTTCTAGGGATGCTGGACATATGTTGGTGATACCTAGGAGAGTGGCTGTCTGGAATCTTTGGTATTGGAAGGTTGGGCAAGTGAAGAGGAGGTGGTCTACGGTTTGGTCTTCATCTTGGCAGTGGGGGCAAGTTGGGTCTTCTTTTGATACCGTTGCAAGGTCTGCCTGAATGTAGCCATGTCCGGTCAGGATTGTTGTGGAGGTGGATCCATGCTTGATGTTTCGAAGCATTTGGAGGAGTAGTTTTGGGGTAGCAGCAAATCTTCGTAGATTTCTGGTGGAGTAATATTGGATGTAAAGGTCTGTCCACATTTTGAGGGCTATCTGTTCTTTTTTAGCTCGCGCGACGCTCTTTGGGAGGGTGGTAAAGGATAGTGGCAGATTAGAATGTGCTGCAGCCTTTGCCGCCTGATCCGCCAGTTCATTTCCTGAAATACCGCTGTGGCCTTTGATCCAGCAGAGTTGCACATTTGGTGAAAAATGCAGGTTGTAGATTATTTCCGCAATTAGTTGTGTTCTTGGGGGCCAAAACCTACATATGGCTGATAGAGCTGATTGGCATTCTGAGGCAATGATGAAGTGTTCTTTCGGGAAATTCATGGTTATTTTTGTTGCGTAGAGAATGGCAAGCAGTTCAGCTTGGAACGCTGAGCACTCCTGGTGGAGTTTAAGTTGTATGGTTTGTAGAGGAGGTGGTAGGATGACTCCAGCCCCAACTCCTTCTGATGATTGGGATCCGTCTGTGTAAATGGTGGTGACATTTAGTTGTAGTGATTTGGTAAAATAGATCATCTTCCGTAATGGGGGATAGGGTAAAAAGGAAGAACTTGGGCGTGATTCGTAGTGGCCCGTTTTCAAAGTTTTTAAATATTCTATGTGAGCCTTTATAGAGATATCGAGTGGGGGACAACCCGTTAATGAGATAGCTGGTATTGTCGGTGTGCATGGACCACCTCTTATTATTGCTTTCGCATATTTGTAGTGGAGACTACGTAGCTTGCGAGCCCCATTTGTGTCATATGCACGTTTTCCCCAGACACCAGAGCCATATAGTAGCGCTGGAAGAACGACTCTCTTGTAAATTTTGTGTCCGGAACTGAAGGTTGAACCAAATTGCCCTTTTATGGTGCTAGTGAGCCTTGGGAGTATCCACCGGTATTTAAGTAAACTGTTGTTGAGATGTTTAATAAATTGTCTCTTTGAATCAAAGGTAATACCAAGGATTTTAATTGTTTTGTTGATTGCAATGGGCTGGTCAAGAAGTCGGATGCTGTCCTTGTTTGGCCATCTTGGTTTGTTTCTGTAAAACATGCATGCTTGAGTCTTGTGGGGATTTACCAACATTCCATACCTTCTGCACCATTGTGAGAAATTTTCAAGAAAATCGTTTATTTGACATTTAGGAAGCTTTGGGGCCACCTGCACCATTAGTGTGAAATCATCTGCGAAGCCCACTAATTCGCTCTTTCTAGGTTTTTGCAAAGTAAATGCTTTTCTTGCAATCATATTGAAGAGAAAGGGACTTAAAGCCGCTCCTTGTGGGACTCCACGGGGTGACAGAATGTGAGCAGTGTGTCCCCATACGCTATAGGCCATTTTTCTATTCATTAAATAGCTGGTAATTAGTTGTAGTAATTCCTCAGGGCAGCTAACCTCTCGTAGGGCTTCAATGATAGAATACCTATGTACGGTGTCGAAGGCTCTTCTAATGTCTAGGCTGATAACTAGTGTTTTCTCCCCCTCTTCCATGTCCCTGTCTATGAATTGGTTTATTGCAGCTAGGGCGTTTTCGGCCGAACGGCAAGGAACAAATACAAATTGGAGGGGTGAAAACCAATTGTGCCGGTCTGCTAGCCATTGTAGTCGAGCCAAAATGCAACGCTCAAATACCTTGGCTAGGGTGTTGAGAAGAGCAATTGGGCGGAATCTTTCCAGTGGGTTTTCTGCTGTGCTGTCCGTTTGGGTATGAGGACTAAAAGGCCGATTTTCCAGGGTGATGGAAAATGGCCGATTCTTAAACACTTGGTAAAAGGTCCTGCAAGTAGTTTATGTAGGGGAGGACCTCCTAATTGAAGGCACTTTGCTCCAAGTCGATCAGGGCCTGGAGATTTCTGCCTTGGAATTGTATCATTATTCTTGTCTCAAATAAATTGCCGTGTCATCCTGAGATAATCTTACTTTTGATAAATATTCTTTAAGATAATATACTTAGTGATAATAAAACTTATAGATAAAAAAACTTGTTATCATCGTCGCAATGGTGGCGCTTCTTGCAAGTTAAATCTACAAATGTGCAAATAACTCTAAGGATATTCAAGATATTCAAGAAATTATTTTTCAAAAACCTTCCCGGGGATATACCCTAATAATTTCCCAAATTTTCACGGCGATTGGATGTATGGTTTTTGAATCTTTAGAGTACAGACAGACAGACATTCAATTTTATATATATACTAGCGGACGTACCCGGCTTCGCCCGGGTTTTCCCCGAGTAAAGGTTTGTCTAACGAAACTCTCGATAAAGTGAACATTTTTTCCCGATCCCTTGAAAAATACTCGATAAGTTGAATAAAATCAATATTAATTGGTTCCCACGGTAATTGGAAATAAAGGAATAGTTTCTTGCCCTGGAATTGTATCATTATTCTTGTATGGATATATCCGGCTTCGCCCGGGTTTTACCCGAGTAAAGGTTTGTCTAACGAATCTCTCGATAAAGTGAACATTTTTTCCCGGTCCCTTCAAAAATACTCGATAAGTTGAATAAAATCAATATTAATTGGTTCCCTCGGTAATTGGAAGTTAAAGGAATAGTATCTTGCCTTGGAATTGTATCATTATTCTTGTCTCAAATAAATTGCCGTGCCATCCTGAATTTTGTCTTTCCTAATTTTCTACATTACAAAATCATCGTATCATCATGATAATATTCAGAACAGATTGTTGAATTATAACAGATATATTAGAATATTTATCTTGATTATTTTTAGGCGAAAAGGTATTTCAAAAATTTATTTGCTAGAAACCTTCCCAGTACTATACTAAATAACTTCCCAAAGTTTCATGGCGTTCCAATGAGTGGTTTGGTCAGACATAAAGGACAGACAGACACACATACATTCATCTATAAATATATAACTAGCGGATGTGTACCTGGCTTC